GACCCATTGTTAGACATTCAAATCGCTCCAGCTTCTGTTGCTAAAGTCATATCTCAATTAAACTGGTCTACAGCTTGTGGTCCAGACAACATTCCTGTCACAGTCTTGCAGAATTGTTCTTCAGAACTTTCTTCAATTCCCTCTAAACTATTTAACAAGTGTTTGACTGAGTCTTGTTTTCCTGCTAGTTGGAAAATGGCATCTGTGGTTCCAATATTCAAAAACTCTGGAGAAAATTCTGACCCCTCCAATTATCGTCCGATCAGTCTTCTTTCTGTTATTAGCAAGGTCTTTGAGTCTTTGATCAACAAATTCCTCACATCTCATCTTGAGTCAAATAAACTAATGTCAGACAATCAATAAGGTTTTCTATCCTCTCGCTCTACAGCTGACTTGCTAACTGCTGTAACTGAAAGATTTTATTGTGCATTAGATAGAGGCGGTGAGGCTAGGGCTATTGCTCTCGACATATCTAAAGCTTTCGACAAAGTTTGGCATGCTGGTCTTCTCCATAAGCTTACTTCATATGGTGTTTCTGGGAAAGTTTTTGAGATTATCAAATCATTTCTTTCTAACCAGTTTATTAAAGTCATCCTTGAAGGCCAACACTCTTCTTTATTTCCAGTAACTTCTGGGGTTCCCCAAGGTTCTATCCTGGGCCCTATTTTGTTTCTTATCTACATAAACGATCTTCCTGACAATCTTTCATCTAAAGTAGCTCTTTTTGCTGATGGCTCAACTTTATACTCCTGTCTTGACAAAAAGTCTTCTCTTTTCGATTGCCTAGAACAAGCAGCTGATCTTGAATCTGATCTCACTTCATTAATAGATTGGGATTCACAGTGGCTTTTGAATTTCAACTCTAACAAAACCCAGTTGTTTACTGCAAACAACTACCATAATATGGTCAACATTCCTATATTAATGAATGGCAATCCTCTTACTGAGTCCTCCTCTTTATGTCTTCTTGGATTATCGCTTACTACTGACCTTTCGTGGAAACCATATATACAATCGATTGCTAAATTAGCTTCTGCTAAGGTTGCTTCTCTTTATCGTGCTCGCCATTTCCATTCTCTACCTCTACAAATCTCTTATTCGTCCCTGTATGGAATACTGTTGTCATATTTGGGCTGGTTCTTCTAACGATTCACTTTCTCTTCTTGACAAGGTTCAAAAACGCATTGTAAATGTTGTTATACCTGGACTATCTGCTAAGCTTGAACCTCTTTCCCATCGTCGTAAAGTTGCATCTCTTTCTCTTTTCTACAGATACTATCATGGTCACTGCTCAAAGGAGTTATCATCTCTAGTTCCATCAACTAAAATTCATTCTTGTTTTACTCGTCATTCAGCTAAGTCTCATTCGTTTACTGTATCTGTCCCTGCATGCTCTAAAAACTTTTATTCATCTAGTTTTTTTCCCCGCACTTCAATCCTTTGGAACTCTCTCCCATCTTCATGTTTTCCTGACTCATACAACCTTCAACTTTTCAAGTCTTCTGTCAACCGTTTCCTTGCTCTATAACTCTGTTCTTTTTCTTTCCCTAGTAACTCCCATCTTAATAGTGGTTGCTTGCAGCCTTGTTGGGAGTGAATGCAAATAAAAAAATAAAACTTCAAAAAGCATGCAAAATGCAGGATAAGGATGGGGGGGGGGGGGGTTGTACAAAAAAAAAAGCGTAGATGTTTTATGGACCACCCCTTACCTTAAGTTAAAGATAAGTATATATATATTTTAAAAAACAAAACAAAAAGACATTAAAAAAGTAAATAATGCAGCGTTTTCATATATATATTTTTTTGTAAAATATGCAAGATAGCAACAATAAAAAATTAATATCACGCAAACTTCTTTGCTTTTAAAATAAGTTTGTCTTTAGATTCATCGGGTTTTGGCGCCATGACACGTTTTTTACTTTTTCGTTTTGTTCCGATCTCCGCCCTCTTCAATACACTTTTCTTCATTACGAAGAGGTAATCATATTTCTTTTTATTTTTAATTTTCACAGCTACAAATTTTTTGGTTTTTCGCCATACAATTTATACTTTGGCTAACCAAAACTGTCAAGGTGATATGACTGACTTGCATTAAAGTTGTGGTCAAGTGCCGCAAAATAAGCACCCATCGTCATGTGGTCATATTCAAAATGATACTGTTTTGGTATGTACTTAAGTAATAAGTTATTAAAAACATGTGAATTGCTTCGGTAAGATAGTTCATCACATCTTTCAAAGTTTTATTTTTTACAAAATTAACTAAAAATTTATAAGAATCCGAGTTGGAATCTAACCAATCTCGTTTCTTTTCCTCTTCCTTTGTGTATAGGTTATGTTTACATTTTGTAAAATCTTACATCCGCCCCATTCGTGTATATTTCAGATATGGTAGAGAATAGAAGAAAACTTTTCATACATTAGTTCTGGTTTTTTTTTAGATGTTTCAACGCTCCACCAGAAATGGTTCACTATAGATGGGACCCATTCAATTAGCTGTGCACGGCTATTGACTTTTGAGGCTTTGGTGATTTTTTTACAAATAGATTTAGCTACGCTCCACAGATCGAATTTGTGGTTTATGGCTTTAAATAAAGGATCAACTTTTAACAACTTTTGAATTTGTCGATGCTGATCAGTTGATATAAAATTAATTATTAACCCTTCTTTTTGCAATTTTATCAGCAACTTCATAAAATTATTTTTTTCCATACAATTTGAATGGCTACTTCCATTACAGAAATTGTAATTGTGTCAATCAAATGCCCCAATTCCATTTCCATAAATGTGTAAGTGCAATATTTAGCACTGTGACCTAGGCTATCACATCTGCCATCACCAACAAGTATGACCATTTTCTTTTTAAGAAGCATTTTAATCATTTTTTGGTGCTTAAAGTTCCACTTATAGTGAACAACTGGCATGATGTAGTCCTTTTTTATGTTATAATAAGTGGTATCCGAACTTCAAATTGGCTAAATAGGCAAAATGTTCAAATTTAGCAAATTGTATTCCAGAAAATGCAATAGAAGTTGCTAAAAATAAATTACCAAGACTTTCTACTCTATCAACTGAGACATCCATTGTACTTCACAGTTATTCAAGTCATTTTTAAATGAAGCACTTTATACAACGAGTTCAAACAAATTCTTTTCAAAAACAAACAATGTACGATCATGGCTTAGTTCAATGAATCCGCTACTCTGTTATCTACCTCACTTGAATTTAAGTCGTTGATGCAACATAGTTTTCATCACCTGAAGATTTTTCCGAAGAAAAATCAGATATGCTTTCATTATCCATATATTCATTATCACTAGGTATTACAGAGTTTTCAAATTCAAATATGTTGTGATCTTTGCTGTCATCAACTTTGTCGCTGATAGTTTGGGTTTCAATGGTTTTAAACAATTTAGATTGTGGTAGTGATTTCTCCATTTGAACGGCATAATTTACCTGAATAAATCATCCAATTAAAGAATAATGAAAAATTAATTTATAAAATGTTTCTTCAATTTATTTTATAAATATAAAAATTTAACTTACTTTTACGGAGGTTTTGACCCAAGGAAATATATAAGACACAGAGTTTTGGACAAGTTTAGTTCTTTTCATTATTCTTGATTCCTCCAAACTTTCTGGCAATCCGATAGATTTTTCGAAACAAAGTGCAATGAACAAATATAAGTTGTTTTTGCCAAGTGGTCTATTCCAATTGCTATTTTCCATGCAGCTGCAGATATTAGATTTTTTGATAGTTTATGAAACGAAAAGGTTGGCGATGATTTTGATTTACTACTAAAGCAACCGACTACAGAACATATTACCATATTTACAATAAATTTTTAACAGGATTGAATTATTGAGAACAAAAATACTTTTTTGGTATTGTCCAACAATTGCAAGTATAAATTTTGCTCATTATTTGTATAAGATGGCAGACTTAAAAATTAGACAGTCATCTTAATGAGTAAAATAACTAACTTAAAATGATTGCAAAGCTAGACAAAGTGTTGCATAAAGTAATAAAATTACACAATCCATCTTCCTGTATTGATAAAATGTATTTAAAAATCATGTTTTGCCACACACTAAGTTTAAAAAAAAAAGGTATTTTATTTATTTGTTAATTAAATAAAATTTATATAATATTACTTATACTTTTAATTAAATTAATTAATCTTGGGGTCACCGCAACGGAGGAACCATGGGGGCCATACCCTCTCCCCTTTTCCTAGATTTTTTCATAAAGTTTTTTTATTTTCTTTATTAAGTGGGTTTCTAGTAGTACTTATTTTGGTATAATAGGTTTTTTTAACGCATTGGCCCCCACTAAAATATCACGCCGTGACCCATGCATAATAAATAAATAAAAATTGTTTCAAAGCTCAGGGAAAACCCCATTATTTTATTTGAAAGAACTTTTGTATTGATGTCAAACATCAACAACAAAAGTGCATTAATCAGACCAGTCTTATTTTTAAAAAAATAAAGAAAGAGCTGGAACTTTCCTTTGCAAGAAACAAAATGGTGTTTAAAATTAGGATGTTTTTTTGTTAACATCTTATTCAATAATTTGTTTTGGAAAGTTTAATTAGTTTTAAACTTTTTTTTTAATGTTTATCTATGATATAAACACAATTTGTCTTGGCACTTGGGGATCCCTTTAAAGACCAGAAAAACTTTTTTTTTTTAATTTGACAGACTGCCTGTCCCAACCAAACCCTCAGTCAATGTAGCAACATGCCGTTGCGAGACAGCCAATTTGTCAGTCGATATAGCTGCACTCCGTTGCGAGTCAGGCTATAAGATAGTCAATGTAGCAACACTCCGTGCATGTTATACAGTAAAAAAAAAAAAATTAAAATGATTTAGAAAAGATAGCTTTAAAAAATATATATATCAAGTTAAATGAGTATTATATACATGTGTTACTTTAATATATCATGTTTATAACAACAGCAACAAAAACTATATGAATGAAATAAAATTATGTTATTTAGTCTGTTGCATCATTATTGCATTTGAAAAAAAAGTTCAATATTAATGGTCCTTTTTTGGTACTCTCACCATTGTCTGTTATCAACAGTTGGGAAAAAGAATTTGAAAGGTTAGATTTATAAATTTTTGTTTATTTTTAAACAGTTTTGATATATTTATTTATAAATAAAAATAAATAATAATTTTAAAAGAAAATTATAATTTATAAATGAATATATTATTTATAGAAATATAAATATTTATTTCTATTAAAAGTTAAGTTGTTTAAACAGTTTATTTTTAAACAGTTATGATATATTTATTTATAAATGATAATAAATAATAATTTTAAAAGAAAATTATAATTTATAAATGAATATATTATTTATAGAAATATAAATATTTATTTCTATTAAAAGTTAAGTTGTTTAAACAGTTTATTTTTAAACAGTTATGATATATTTATTTATAAATGATAATAAATAATAATTTTAAAAGAAAATTATAATTTATAAATGAATATATTATTTATAGAAATATAAATATTTATTTCTATTAAAAGTTAAGTTATTTAAATCCTTTTCATATTTACATTTTTTTTAAATAGAATTGAGTCTTTATTATATTATAAATTTTTTTTAATTTTGTAACATTAACTATTTTTTATTAATTGTTAACAATTTGATAATATTTAAATTTATTTATTATTCTATCATAACAATGTAACAAAGCGATTGCAGAATGAAAAATCCAGAAAAATATTTGGTCTTCAAAATTTTAGTTTATACAAAACCATAATCTACATACGTATATGTGTTCTTTGTTTTCAAGGGGCGAATCAACTTAAATTTGTAAGCGAAAAATTATAAAAAATAAAATAATAAACTTACGACTACAACACTGTTCTCCAAATTGACCGCCAGGTTAAAACTCTCCCCACTCCTGATTTTTTTGCATTTAATTAATCATATGCATTAGTAAACACAATTTAAGTTGTCAGAAAAATCTGAACTAAGTGCTAAGTACATATTTTTCAAAATTATAACTTATAATTTTTTGATTAAAGTCAGCCATTATGGTGATCAAAATAAACCATCAACATTTATTAACTTCGTTTACAAAAAACACATATAACAAATAAATATATAACACATATTATATTAATACTACTGATTATTTAAATTAAAATTAACTACAGCAGATTTTAGCTTTTTTCCATAATTTTTGTGACGTATAGTTCTTTTATAGTTCACCCAAGTTTTTTTAAATTTGTGGTGAACAGCTTCACCACATTGTTCTGCATAGTTTCCTAAGCTAATATTATTGTGTTCTATAAAGGGAAGAATATGACACACTAAAATATGTATTTTCCAGGAAACTTTCAAATCATAGTCAAAAATATCTTTTGCATATAATTGGAGACTTGAAAAAGAACATTTGAAGGCTTCGATTTTAGCAGAAATATCTGCACCCATTTCTAAACCAAACACTGCTGATTTTACTAATGAAAACTTACGCAAACAATTAATTATTGGTAAAATATCAATCGTTGTAGTTAAGGTAACATCCCTCTCCAAAACATCTAACAAGGACATAAATTTATTAGCATTGTTTCCATCTAAACCTACTCCATGGCATCCTCTCATTAATATGTAATGTGTTTTTAACCAATTTTGAAAAGGTGGCCAAACGCATAAAAGCATAGTACAAAGTTTATCCACAACTCCCATCATAATATGGAGCTCAGGAGGAGGAACAATGTGTTCAAGAATTGTTTCTTGATTTTCTTTTAAGTATATTAAATGAGGATTTATAACATTTTTGTAATCCTGCATTTTTAGTCTTTTTTTTCCTTCACATACATATTGATCATAACATAAGTCTATGGAACCCAATGTTCTTAGTTTCCCTGCTTTGAGGGAGCATTCTCCTTCACAATAAAGACAAGCATATTTGCCAGAATGACTTGAAAGTCCAAAAACACTGTTTGCACATTTTAAATCAAATGCTAAACTAAAATCTACTTCTTCGAGTTTCAAAGGTTCCAATAATTTTTGGAGATTGCCATTATCCTCTGAAACCATCTCCACAATCGCAAGGATAAAACAACGTTTCACACCAGAATCTTCATACATTTCGGATGAAGAATAATGATTTTTTGGATCAAAAACATTAATAATAACTTTAAGGAAGTTTTGACCACCATCTATAGATATTCTTGCTATTGCATTAGGGGTATCAATACCTTTTTCATCAATTATAAATTCAGTTGTATTCTTGACATAAACTATATCCCTAACAACTATTTCATCACCGTCAAGAAATTCTTCAGTTTTACATTCATATAAAGTTTCTAGAGTATCCTGTAATTCAGTCATTTTAATATTAATGTTTGATTCTACACCAGTTAGATTACTGCGTAAAGTAGAACACAGTTTTTTAGTTTTGTTCTTAGAGAGTTCTAATACATTCGATAACTCCATAGTAGTTCGGAATGAAACTTGATTTACTTTCTTTCTTTTCGACTTATTTTTATTTACTCCAACTGTAACAGAGAGAAGATTTCCACCAGTAGACAACACGAACTGCTCTCCACTTACAATGTTTTCACGTTCCATTTTACGTTTTAACAATCCAGAAGCTACTTACTCTGCACCTTTATATCCAAGCGATTCACTAATATCAATTATATTGTTAACAGCTTTACTTTTGCAACAATCATGAGAAATTTCTCTACCTAAAAGTAATAGTGAGAAATTAAAAAACTATTTTAACAGTAGCTTGAAATTACGTAAAAAACAATAATACATTGAATCAAACTGTAATGTAACATAAAGAGAATCAAACTTCAATTAATCTTATTTAAATTATAAAATCATAGTATTAACATACCAAGATTCAAATAGCAGAGCCCACAGATTTTCTTATTCACACTTGAAAAATTCAATTCTGGCTCAACATCTGTCTGGATACATTGCAGTGAAGAGGTTCTCCTAATAGTATTTCTATTTATCTAAAATACAAATGTGCTTTATAAATTAAATCAGTGCTAATATATTTATTCATAAAAACTACATGATTTTATTATATATATATATATATATATATATATATATATATATATATATATATATATATATATATATATATATATATATATATATATATATATATATATATATATATATATATTATAAGTCTATATATATTATAAGTATACACACACACTCATATATATATATATATATATATATATATACATATATATATATATATATATATATATATATATATATATATATATATATATATATATATATATATATATATATATATATATATATATATATATATATATATATATTATAAGTCTATATATATTATAAGTATACACACACACTCATATATATATATATATATATATATATATATATACATATATATATATATATATATATATATATATATATATATATATATATATATATATATATATATATATATATATATATATATATATATATATATATATATGAGTGTGTGTGTATACTTATAATATATATAGACAACCACATAAACACAAAAAGTAGCAATTCATCCACATTAAAGTACCTTTGATATAGTCTCTAACCAGTTGGAAAGATATGCAGTCTCCCCTTTGTTTAGACAAAATAAGATTCTTCTGCAGTTGGAACAAACTACAGAAGGACAAATTTCAAGATCAGAATCGAAGTTTGGCCAGATGTATTCTTGAATTTTTTCGCGCACTGAAGGTGTTATAGGTGTTAAAGATTTTGATCTGATACCTTTATTTATCAAGCAAACTGCACAAGTACATAATTTGAAGTCTGACGCCATGTTGAAAAGTGAAAGTTATATCCGTAATTCAATTATATCATTGCCATAAATAGCTTATTTGACTACCATAATGGCTGACTTTAATTAAACTTACGAAAAAAAAAAGAAAAAAATTATAAGTTTTAACTTTAAAAATATGCATACTTAGCACTTAGTTCAGATTTTTCTGACAACTTAAATTGTGTTTGCTAATGCATATGATTAATTAAATGCAAAAAAATTTAAAGTGGGGAGAGTTTCAACCTGGCGGTCAATTTGGAGAACAGTGACAAAAGTAATAACACTCTAGTAACTAACTGCATTATAAAAGTAATAATGCTATAATAGTGTTAATACTTTTATAAAACTTTTATAATTTATTCTTAGTTCAAACAACATAAGTAATCTCAAATTTTAATTGAAGTAGAAAAGCATCTAGAAAGATCTACTTCAATTAAAATTTGAGATTAATGTTCGTTTTTATGAATCATTAGCAACATATTTTATAATGCCATTATATAAAACGTTGCTAATGATTCGTAAAAACGCACTCTAATTTTAAAATCAACCAATAAAAACTTTTTATTGGTTGATTTTAAAAGTAGCAGGAATCTAGTCTACTTTTGAAAGAAAGTACAGTGGAGTTGAAAGTTATTTGCTCAGGTAGTTCATTCCAGAATTTTAGTGATCTATTACACAAATGATTGTATCTTGGAACACAGTTTGGAACATACTCACGCCTTTTTTTAAAATAGTGACCACAAGACAAGGAGTTTATAAATTTCTATAGATATATATCATTAACTATATCAAAACAATGTATTAATATAAAGATTTGGATTAATTGGCATGGAAGGCACTGAAACCTTGATGGTAGATTTAATTTTTATAGCTTTTTGCAGAATCGAAGATGCCTCAAGCTGAAAGCCCATTTTGTTGCTTTTTGTTGATGAATAAGGAGACCAAATAAACACTCCATATTCAAAGTGTGATCTTATAAACACACTTTACATAATTTATATAATTATTTGTATATTTTATATAATTTGAGAGCTATATTTTCTGATGTAAAAATGACTCCCAAAATGAGCTATTTAGTAGAGCTTCTCAGGTATTGGTTCTTTTCCTTAGTAATTTTGTAGAAAAGTAGTTTTAATAAAGTTTGTTTTAACCTTAATGAATAGCGCGGCATTTTGAAATGCTTAACTCAAGTAATCAAAAGTTTTACCGCTTGTACACTAAGCGTAGACGATCCTGCAGATCAAGCATAGATGATCCTTCAGATCAAGTGTAGATGATCTTGCAGATCAACAAGATTAGACTGCCGTAAGGTTTTAGTATCATCTGCAAGTTTAGTATCATCTGCAAATATCTCAGAAATTTCAATGAAAAGATCATTTGTGTAGAGAATAAGAATATAGTTGTGTATAAGAATAGTTGTGTATAAAAATAAATTGTGAAAAGAAATGGGCCAATAACAGAACCTTGAGGAACACTATCCAAACAGAGCTGGTATTGTTAATTGCGTTAAACGCATTCCTTTCTGCCCACTAAAAAAGAATTAGTCTATTGTAGGAGTTTGTTCCAAAAGATCCTAATTTTATTCCTAATAATCATATTTTTAACATAAGTCTGTTGTGAGGTACTGAATCAAACGCTTTGGCAAAATCAAGATAGATTACATCAATTAACTGGCAAGGTGCTAAGGAAGAGAAAAAAATATCAAAAGTCACTATTAGATTAGTTACGCATGATTTATGATGAAGGAAGCCATGTTGATTTGCAGAGCATTTTATTATCATTAATGTACTTCAAAATTTCGTTCTTTACAAGCATTTCAGAACAGAAGTTAGTAAAATAGGTCTATAGTTTTCAGCAAGTAATTTTTCTCCTTTTTTTAGGCCAGACTAATATTTCTACAGAGTGGGTAATACTCCAGAAGAGCTTCATTAATTCTGCCTAAAGTATTTTTGAGAGAACAAACTCTATCTCTTATTTTAAGTTGTTTGTTAATATATTTGTAAATGAGTTTTGGGTTGTTCTGAGATTTTGATGTTATTTGTTTTTCATGTTTGTTTGTTTTTTAATTATTTCATCTTTTACTGAATGATTAAGATGACTATAATTTCTTTTTAAGCTTATTAATCTTCCATTTGGTTGAGCATATGCTAAGTAAATTTTTTTTCCTTAAACCAATTTTTTAATATGTGGGGTAACCCAAGGATCATACTTTTTTTTTTTTTTTATTAATCTTGGGGATAAAATATTTGCAAACAGTGTGATAGTTAGAAATTAGTATATTGAACATTTATACCACAATTTTATCTAGAAATAAAATTCCTAGTCGATTGATACAATAAAGTTTGATATTGAGTCGTAATCACCTTTTTTGTAACTAAACGATTGAGATTCACTTTTGGAAAATGGTTCTGAAACTAAGAATCTCCAAGTGATACTAAAATGACCCATAGTGTTATTACCTAGTACATTACTAGGAGATAAGAATAAAATATAATTACTGTTATAGGTAAATAATAAGTCCAACATATTATTTGAGATACCATAGTCAGTCTGGAAAGTAGAAAATGTGGTTGTGTAAAAATTGTTGTAGAAAATGTGATATGTTGTCTAAAAGAGACTGTTTTGGTAAATATCACAGAAATCATACTTAGTTGGTTGGGTTAAAAGATTTAATACCATCATTAGCCAATTTATATTTGGGAGGTTTAAATCACTGACAATCAAACAGTCATTGTAGGGCTTCTTAATTAAGCTATGAGCTAATTTGAAGGATTCAGCAATATATTTTATTAAACTAGCATTATTTGGTCTATATATACATCCAATAAGTATATGTTTATTACTTACAAATAACCAGACTTATTCGAGAAGGTTTGTATAGAATTGATTAACTTCATGAGAGTTAAATACATCAATTATGTAGATAGCTACACCGCCACAGATATTTAAACAACTAATTAGTTTAAATTTGTGTTTATATTATTTAAATTTGTTTGTATTATTTATATATTAACATACCAACAGATTATTTTAAATTTGTTTAATATTATTGATTAAGTTAAAGCAGAGGTTGAATAAACTCAGATTTCTGATTCCTTTGTTTGCAAAGGTCAACTATAAATATCATGTTTATAAAAAACTAAACAGAAAATTGATTTTACAAAGCTATATATGTATTATAAATAAAAATTTCTAATATCACAAAAACATTTTCAACAATTTTTGAAAGAGCTCACATCATTGTAATTATAATGTTTTTTGTAAAAAAAATTGCAGCACTCTAAGCCTGGGAACAAAAATACCCTCAAAAGCAATAAGTTAATAAATAATATTTTATATATATTTAATATATATATTTATATATATTTAATAAGTATTAAATATTATATATTATATAAATATAATAGTGATAACAATGTGAAATAATATTCTGAAATATTAATACAAAAATATTAATAGGAAAATATTGATACGAAAATATTAATACGAAAGTAATAATACAAAATATTATATAAATATTAATAATTAAATATTAAACATATATGATTCAATATAACTAAGTACTTAGTTTCACTGAATCAGATATGTAACTATTGTTCTTTTTGGTAGTTTCATCTAAGTTTGATGCAAGATATTGTAGAGTTTTCTAGACAACCTGGGCTAATATTCTCTGGTTATTTCTTTATAAAGTTAAAGGTAAACATAAATAAAGCATTAGTTCGTGCTTTTTATAAAAACAACATGTAGTTCATATTAAAGAAAATGTTGAAAAAATGTTTGAGCTGATTTTTTTTTGATTCAAACTAATAAATGTATAAATAAATAATAAATCAATCTAAACTAAACTTGATATTTTAGTTAAACCTTCTCTCTTTAACTCTGTATTTTGGTGTCTTTATAAAATATGCTTGATGTTGTATTTTAATTGTGTTTAATTTTTAAAAGTTTCAGTATATGGTGTAATTGTAGAAGGTCTTTTTTTAGTTATTTAAGTTTTTTTTCACCTAAAATCATAAAATCACATTTATTTTTATAATTTTTTTTATAAAATCCCAAACAATATTCCTAATAAAATTAAAAAGAAATCTTTTTTAGTTTTATTTAAACAATGTGTATCTTTTTTTTAAATTTTATCTAGATTGTATATCACTGCAATTTTTTTTTTCCTATTGAAATGATATTTTAATTAGGGTTGTTCGCCGAAAAACAAAACTTGCGAAAATTTCGCATCTTTATCTACCGTAATAGAATTGTTCTAAGAACAATTCTATTACGGTAGAATATGTTTATACAAATATACCTAATATATATATATATATATATATATATATATATATATATATATATATATATATATATATATATTATATATATATATATATATACAGTAAAATCCCGTTAAGTTGGACTCTCAATGAACAGATAAACAGTATGGCTTTCTTTTTAAAAAGTATAAAGAGGATGTGTGATAAACAATTAAATACTTTATTATAAAGAACGAGAGATCTCTCTAAAAGTAAATGATATCAGAAAGAGTAAAAAGAGAAGAAATATATGTGAAACAGCGGGATGTGAATCTGGGTCTCCGCGGCCAAATGTCTTAACTGAATGAGCTATACGTTCATTCAACTAAATGAATAGTAATATTTATTTATTATATAATTAAGAAACTATATAAAACAGAATTTACAGAAAGAGATACGTATGCAAATAGGATTCTATATATCAGGAAAATGAATAGTAATGTGAACCTTTAGTTGCTTATAATTAATATCTGGACTCGAAAACTAGTTACTTTTAATGGAACACAATAGGCTGTAGGAGCCTCAGGGAAATTATATTGAGAAATGATTATATTAGACTCAGAGTTAGCTAGAAATTATTACAAAGTGTTTAGGACAGATGTCTAGTGCAAAAAGCACAAGATTTAAAGCAAAATGATTTATATTAATTTGAAAAGTTGTTTTACGTACATTTCATCATAATTTAAATAGAACTTAGTAAAGCAAGGGAAACGTGTAGAGTTAAGCACAATAAACTCAATCTTAAAAGAATAACTAACAGAAGAGAGGTTGTCACTATTATGAAGGTGACGAAAAATCTGTAATATAGAACATGG